AGCAAAAGAGAGGGTGTCTAAACTGGCCTTCACCCACAGCCACACTGATGAATATGTTGCATATCACCATCGAACCTTCATCTGGTGATGGATGGAGATAGAGTCAGAGACCCACATTGGAGCACTGGACTGAGCTCCCAAGGTCCAGATGAAGAACAGAAGGAGGAAGAACATGAGCAAGGAAGTCAGGACTGCGAAGAGTGTGTCTACCCACTGAGACAGTGTGACTGATCTAATGGAAGCTCACCAAAGCCAGCTGGACTGGGACTGAACAAGCATGTGATCAGACCAGACTCTCTGAATGTGGCTGACAATGAGGGCTGACTGGGAAGCCAATGATAATGGCACTGGGTTTTGATTCTACTGCATGTACAGGCTTTTTTTGGGAGCCTAATCTTATCGGATACACGCATTCCTAGACCCAAATGTAGGGTGGAGGGCCTTGGACTTCTCACAGGGCAGGGCACCCTGACTCCTTTAGGACTGGAGAGGAAAGGGGAGGGGGAGAAAACGGAAATGGGATGAGGGGAGGAGGTGTAAATTTTTAGTAAATAAATAAATAAATTTAAAAAAATCAAAAAGACACAATAATATCCATAATCAAGACTCTCTGTGAACTTTCCATCTTTAAGTGGCTTTATTTACTCCTTTAAATTTATCACTGTCTGTACTCTGTCTTCTTAATGACTTTATTTTTTAAAAAATGATTATTTCCTCTTATAATCTTCATAGTCTTTTTCTTCCCTCTCCAAAGCCTATATACATTTATCCAAAGATATCACCAATTTAGAGGTCTTTTTTAAATTTTGATTTGTCTTCATTTCATATCTGTAAATATTTTCTGACCTAAAGCATTTCTTAAAATGCTAAACAGCTTGATCTCAGTTGCCCTGGGTGCTGGCTCTGCCTCTCTTGGGCTTTAAATATGGCGGAGGTAATTCACCTCCAGCTTTAGGACTTCCAGGTAGGAGCCATTCTACCGCCTAAACTCTGGGTAGCACCTTGCAGCATAAAAACCATTTCTTTACTGAGTAAAAGCAAAATGAAAATCTCTCTGTGTATGGCACAAGAATCTGCCATGCTCTCCTCCTGTGTATGCCTTGTAGACCTGATCCTTCTGCCTGCCCCTGTCAGGGTTGCTGAGCTGGTCTCAGCTACATTACTCCTGACCCCAAGTGGGCCCACAAACACTTGGGCCCACAAATGCCATTTAAATACTCCAAAGCCAAATATGCACTGACAGCATGGCCCAGGAAGCTGCCTTTTTTAAAAGTCGAGGCTTTTTTTCTGCTTCCAGTGAATTAGGAAAACCTCCCTTAAAGGAGCTGCAGCATGATACCATCGGAGATAAAAATGAGATTAAACTTTGTTTTTCTGTGTCTAGAGTTCCTTCCAAGCTTTTTAAAGTTTTAAATGGATTTAGATGGCCATGTTGGCACCAATTTGTTGAAAGGAAGAGAGTCCCGGAAACCCTGCTAGTTTAGACCTGAAATCATCACACAGAAACTGTGTTAATTAAAACACAGTTTGGCCCATTAGCACTAGCCTCTTGTTGGTTAACTCTTACATCTTAATTTAACCAATTTCTATTAATCTCATGTATTTCCATGTGGCAGTGGCTTACTGGAATAGTTTTGGCAAGTCTGACTCTAGCGTGGCTCCATAGTGTCTCCCTATCTGCCTTCCTTCTCCCTGCACTCAGTAAAGTTTTTCCTGGCTACATAAGTTCTGCCCTATCAAAAGGCCAAGACAGTGTCTTTATTCATTAATGGTAATCACAGAATACAGAGGGGAATCCCAAATCATTAAGGCTGTCGATAAATGTTTTATTTTTGACTCTTCTAATATATTTCATTAACCATTGCCATCCCTTTTCATACCATTACCATGTAGGTTGTAGTACCATAGCCCAGGAGTTCAGTTGGAAATAAGATAATGCTACAGCTTTAGCATTGTTCTCTTTGCTATGGATTGTTTAGCATAATTGGGGGCTTTTGTGTTTCCATTTAAATTTGGGACATTTTCCCTACTTCCTTAAAGATTACTTTTTGGAATCTTGATAGGAATTTCAATGAATCTGTAGCCTTTTCCAATAATATGGATATTTTAACAACATTTATCTTGCTGATTTATGAGAATAGGTGTTTTTCATAACTTTTAATGTCTTACTCATTTTCTTTCCTCATAGTTTTAAAGGTTTCATTGTGGGAGACCTACACCTCTTTGATTAGGGGATTGTCACACTGACACAGTCTACTCTCACCTGGAGGAGAGTTCCATTGAGGTATTGTCTATGTTGAGTGTCCTGTGTGGATGTCTGAGGGAAGTTGTCTTAATTAGGGTAACATATGTGGGAAGTCCCAGACGCTATACGCAGCACCCTTTCCTGTGCAGAGAACCTTGAACTGTATGAGTGAGAAATCAGCCCGAGCACAACCAGAGAAGCACTGAGCATGCCTGCATTTGTGACTTCCTGCTCTTGAGCATGGTGATGCATCTAACTGCTGCAAGTTCTGTAACTATAACTACATCACAATGAAGAGTTGTAACTTGCAACTGTGTTAAAATAAACCTTTTCTCCCTTGGGCTGTCTTTTGTCAGGATATTTTTTTTTAATTCAGCTAAATTTTTATTAAAATTAGTTTTACCAGGAATTATAATGGACACATAGCTTCTTAGGATCTCTGAATCCCAAACGTAGCATTCTGTACATAGACTCTACCCAAAAGCTTACTCTAATTTCCTATTGTTTTTTTTCCTTGTTTTTTTTAATTTATTTATTTATTAAGGATTTCTGCCTCGCTTGTCAGGATATTTTATCACATTAATAGCAATGAATGTAGGGCAGGCACATCTACAGGCATTTATTTTGAATGGCATTGTATTCTAAATTCCCTCTCAATGTGTTCCTTAGGGGTGTATAGAAATGCTGCTGGGTCTTGTACATTCTGTTTCACATTCTAATGATTCTCTAGTAGAGTGTCCCTGATCCAAGAGTTTTCTGGTAGAGCCTGTTTTAATTATTGAATCATATCATCTTCAAACAGGGACAGTTTGATTTCTTCCCGTGTTATTTGTAGTGTATTTCTTTTGATGAAGTTTTTCTTGGCTGAAAACCCAGGCAACTCTAGCAGTTAGTTTTCAGTTTCTGTGATAAAGTTCTCTGACAAGAAGCAAGTTAGGAAAGAAAGGGTTCATTCTGGTTTAAAGTTCAGAGTGACAGAGTCCATCACAGCAGGAAGGGAAATGTGGTTTGGGGCCAGGATTTAAAACTATCCTCTGAGTGATGTCTTCTGCCAGCAGTGCTCCACCTTTACCATAGAGGTTCTAAACCTGTTGGTCGTGACCCCGTTCACTGGGATCTCACATCAGCTGCCCCCATACCAGATATTTCCATGATAACACATAACAGTAGCAAAATTTCAGCTATGAACTAGCAATGAAAATAATTTTAAGGTCTAGAGGTGAGGGACACTACAACGTGGGGAACTGTATAACGGGCTGCAGCATTAGGAAGGTGGAGACCTACTGTCCTAAAGCTTCCATAGCCTTCACAGACATCTCCACAAACTGGTGACCAAGTGTTCAACATTTGGAAAACATTTCTTATGCTCAGTCACTACGGGCACCCCAATGAAAAGCACCTAGAGAACAGATGCACTTCTCTCCTTCCTTATTATTAGAGGAAACTGAGAGAGTTGCAGGGGGAGGGTCACAGGCCAGGCTTTCCTAGCGGCCGGGTAGAAATCTAGTTTGGGTTCACTAAAATGGAGCAGAGCTAAACAGGCAGTCAAAAAAACAAAAAAAAAAAAACTATAGGCAACCAACTAGCAGTTACCCCAGTCTTCTGCTAGCTCAGCAGACACCCCAAATACCTTCTCCTGGCTTAGCAGATCCCCAAAGCCCTTGTGCTGGATGAGCAGATGCCCCCCCAGCCTTTTGGAAGCTAAAGATAGTTTTCCATACTCTGCTGCAGAAAGGACCCTAACCAATAAGTCCTCCCACCAATCAGTCCCCAGACTAATCTGTCCCCTATCAATCAGCCCTACATTAATCCCTCCTCCATGGGTTTCCCCAAACTCTACTTAAAGGGAGCTTGTGAGTTTCATTGTGGGTGGCCAATGTGCCACTTAGTGTTTGAATTAATAAACCGTTCTTGTTATTGCTTGCTTGGCTGTTTGTCTCCATCCCTAAAAAAAAAAAAAAAAAAAAAAAAAAACGGGTGCTTTTCTTATGTCAGAATCCCATTTTTTTTATTATTCATTTTGAAATGAGAAATATTTATTATGCTTGTCATTTCCTCTGATTCTTATGTTCATAAAGACATTTTGCCATTAAGGGAAGTATCTCAAACAAAATGCAAAAAACAAAAATCAAACAAACAAAAAGACCCTGAAGTTTCTCTTTTCCTGAAACCTTTTCCCTCATTTGAGATGATTATGATTTCTTTCTCTGAACCTATTTACATGCAGAGCTGTATTCATTGAGTGGCTTATGTGGGACCATCTTTATTTCCTAATTCTTGTAGACACAAAGCCCTGGTGGCAGCAGGACTGGGAGCACATCCCAGCCTCTGACCCCCAGCAGGATGATGCCAAGGATGCTGAATAGAGGTGGTGGTGAGAAAGTAGCTGAGCTCTTCACCAGAGAGGAAACTCAGCATGGCCAGGGAGAGACACTCTCCTTTCTTCTCCAGAGAGGGGGCTGAATATCCAGGGACACACACTCTCCTTTCTTAGGCTCACTTTAAGGTTGTGTGGGAGTCATCTGTGGGTATGTTTCCTAGAGTGGAGGGTTGCAGGTCTCTTAAGCCCCCACTTTTAAAAGATCACACAAAGAAGTATTGGTATTTGCAAATAAATTTAATGATAGAAAGAAATGCCTTTGAGATTCCAACAATAGTCTTGCACTTTATAGACAGAAAGATAAAATCAAGAAAGTAAAGTTACAATTATGGTATCAGCTCTTCATTCCTGTGAGCTAAAGATCTCGTGGAACTTTTAGGAAGTCTGTGGACAGTCTTCACTGTCGTATATAGCATTCTGAAAAATAAATGAGGAAGCAACTTAAATTTTGAACTTTGATTGTAGAGTCCAATATTGAAAAGAAAAAATCTTATTTTTTAATTATTTTTTCAGTATTTTCAATTACTATTAAGTATTACAGAATGCTTCCAGAGAAAAATCTGATTAGGTGCATGTGCTCTATCATTTAAGAAAACAAGAGTAAGAAACCCAGATGTTTTTTATTTTTTTTTTTTTGAAAGTTTCCCCTTGATTACCTTAGCCTCTAAATTCCAACCTCCCCCTGCCCAAATGTTTCCATAGGAATTCATTCTGTACCCACTCGGAAGCTAGAGGTCTCTGTGGCTGAAGGTATCTGATGACCGTCAGTTTGAACTGCTCTGCTATTATTCTCTTACCACTTGCTTAACAGTGGGAGTGGCTTTAAAAATTCCTCAGTGCTCTAAAACTGAGATTTGTTAGAAGTGACTAGAGAGCCCTCACCGGTACTTTCAGACCCTGTGTATTCCTGTGGTTTTAGTTAAAACTGGGCAGATTTCTAAGACTTGGCACCTGTGGGTTGCTTGAATGGGAACAGGGACACTTTAGATGAATTCTTGGACCTTCATTTTTATGCTTGGAAAGAGACTATTATTATTAATATTATTATTTAAAGAGACTGTTAGTCCTGATGTTCTTATACTGGGGTCTTCTGTACTCGCTCTGAATTGGTGCAAATGGAAGGTCCATGGTTACTGAACCAAAACAGGACTTCTTGAGATTCAAGTATATTTTTCACTGACTTAAGAATTTGAGGGCTTTCTCCATGTCATGACATGCTTATGTGTTTAAGTGTGTGTGTGTGTCTGTGTGTGCGCGTGCTTGTTCATGAACGTGAATGGTTGCATATGTGTACCTGTATGTGTGATTGGGAGGTTATTGATAAGACAGTTACCTCTGGGTCATCTCCTTTGATTTTATGTTTTTCTTTAAATATTTTAATATCCTCAAAAAATATAGAATATAAGGTGTGTCTTTCAATGCCTTTCCTGAACAAAATGTCACCACTATATGAAATTATGTTGTTCAAAAATAGTACACAAACAATGTTTGCTTGGACCTTATTAGTCACAATGTTGGAAACTGTTCTTCCTCATTAGTAGAAATATATGCATGTGAATATATAAGTATGTATATATATATACAAATATACGCCAATATAAATATATAAAATACATAACTATGTACATATATCTATATATGTGTGTGTTTACATCATTCAAATATATATAGTTATATAAAACAAAAAAGGGAAAATGTATAATTACCATCATAACTCGATAATTGGCCAAAGTCTCCTCTGACTGGTCTAGGAAACATTGTTTCACTTCGCCCAAAGCCTTTTTGTCATAAGGAAGAGGTGCGTATGACTTTATCACTCTCTGAAACTCAGCCACAGACACTGATGAGTTAGTGATTTGTGCAACGACGTCATCCATTGCACGGCAATTAGAACCTGGAAGGACATGGCATTCATCACTGGAGGTCTGAACTCATTAGGGATCACCTCTCATCACAAACATCATGTTGAGTCAGGTAGACACAGATTAGCAAAGGTGGTGGGCACTGCCAAATATGGGACAGATGATGCAGGTTTCAAGATTCCACTTAGAAACTGCAAACTCTGTCCCTGACATGGCAGCACAAAGAACCAAACCCTCACACACCCTTCACTGGGAAGGACACTAAAGAGATGGGAGACCATTTTGCTGTGCATGGTAAGTATTGGAGTCATTGTTTGGTCAAAGCCTGCTACATTTTTTATTGTTTTTTTTATTTGCTGAAGTCTTTATTGTGTTAAACATTTCTTATAGTATCAATTACCTGTTGTGCATTTAGGTAAACTAAAATGTTGGAGTGAATGTTTATTACAACATAACTCTTGTGTTATAAAGTACATTAGGTCACTTATGCTGCCTTAGACTTATACAAAAGTTTTTTTTTTTTTTTAGAGTGATTATGACTTGTCACAAAATCATTTAGGAAGCTGAATTGAAACATTTTCTCATCAGAACTTTTGAACCATACTGTTCCAATTTAGATTTATATATTTAAAATTTATAATATTTATTTTTAATGATATATATTAATATACAAATACACCATTAATTTCTTTTTTTTAATAATTTTTTTATTAAGAAAAGAAGAAAAAAAACATAAACAAAAAACAAGTTTCCACCTCCTCCCAGCCTCCCATTTCCCTCCCCCTCCTCCCACCCTTCTCCCCCTCCTCCCACCCTTCTACCCCTCCCCCCACTCCTCTCCCCCTCCCTCTCCAGTCCACAGAGCAGTCCAGGTTCCCTGCCCTGTGGTAAGTCCTAGGTCCTCCCCACTCCAAAAGTTTTAAAAAAATGAGCCAGAGAGAAGGTTCAGCAGTTAGGAGAAGGTACTCCTCTTCTGGAAGCTCTGAATTTGATCCCAAGAACCCATGTCAGGCAGCTTAAAGCCACCTACCTCTAACTACAGCTCCAGGGGTATTTGACACTTCTGCAGGCTCCTGTACACATGTGCACACACTCACTGCCAAAATATAGTGCTAGCGTCACATGTTTAATGGTGAATTCTATGTTCTGAGTCAGAGTGATCTTTCGCGCTTCAGTTTTACTCTTTTTCAACACACATAACTCCTTGGTATTAAAGGTAATGTTGAATAGGATTTATTTCTTCCACTTTCCAGACATATATTATTCTTCAACAGAAACTCTGTTACTTGAAGTGACGTCATGCAGAAAATGGAAGCCGACTGCAAGATTCCTTTTGGTTCTGCAAACTTGCCCCTAGCAAGCCAACAAGGGACGTCAAACCTCGCTGATCTTTGTCAGCAATGACACACAAGAAATTAGAAGCTTTGTTCTGATGGGTCACAGTGAACTGCTGTGTCTTTCTTTCTTCTAGCCATGATGCATCTCAGTGCTATTTTGGGAACCCCATTAAGTATTTTACAGTAGTTTATAAATATTAACCATTGTCACCGTTAACTCTATCATCTATATCAAAAGTATCATAAACTAAAAACGCTTGTACTTGAATTAATGTCATTGTTCAGCCAGTGGAAGAGAAAGAGGTCAAGGTTAACCCTGATTTTTCTATCAAGTTAACTGAGAACTCCACCTTCTTGTCATTTTGCACCAGCGTGTCACATATGTGAAGTTGACAACATAGACAAAGCAAATTATACAAAGTCTATTGCATTTGTGACATGTTTGTACTGACTACATTCTCGGGGATAAAGCTTTACTTCAGTCATTACTTCAAGTGGACTTGGGGAATGTGAACTTTCCTCTCTACCAGAAAGACTAGGATGTAAGTGGCCCAATGTGAAGGGGTCAGAACAAGCTTTGACAGTCTGTGTCGTGGCTCACAAACTGTTTACTCCTAGGTCTCATGCTCAAGTTTGAGAAATAACTTTTTCCACAGTTAAAATGATTCCTAAGTACAATTTTTAGGAAACCCATTTAGGTCCAGGGTCATTTATATTTTTCCCATTTTCTGTAAAATATCCTGTATGCAAATCCAAGACCTGCCATGGATTTCAGGAGAGCTGTCATCTCCTTGGGACCTCCTGTGTGGTAGTGACACATCACACACAGCCCCAGCGCTGCATCTGTGATGGCTCTTTGACTATCTAGACTAGTGTTGAGTTTCAGGGCTATTTAATCAGACATTTTGTAACACAGTTGACATTCTGTGGCTCAGGGGCTAGGACTTCTTCTGCTAGAACAGAAACAGTGTGTTGTCTAAAAGTAGCCCACCACTGCACAGAATTCACCTCCCACTCCTCCTCAGAACTCATTGCCTACCCCTCCACAGAACCCACCGCCCACCCCTCCACAGCCCCACCACCCACCCTTCCACAAAACTCACTGCTGGCATAGCAGCAAATGGGGATGGCGGCCAGCAAGAAGACCAGGACCAGCTTCATGTTGAGGAAACCCTTGTGGGTTGGTCTTTGGTACAATTTGGAGATCAGGAAACTTTCTGCAGTTGAGAGCTCAGCATTCCGCTATTTATATCTTGGGGAGGTCCTTTAGTGTCACCCAGGAAATAAGGACGCAAGTCATGAGAGCAACATGGCATTGTAGTAGACGACACGAAAGAACATGAAACAGAGCCAAGGAAGCCTAGGATTTGTTTGTACAAAACAAGGAAACAAATTATGAAGAAGGACAGTTGGTGACCTTTCCATGAGGTCTTCCAAAAAATGAAGATTGCAACACTGTAGTATTTTTGAAATGATACTGTTTTCCCCTTTATACCCTCACTCCTTCATTTACTCCTCTTCATCTTCTGTCTTCTTCATCTTCTCATTCCTTTAATTCTTTCCCTTTCTTCTCCTTCACCTTTCTTTGCCTATGTCCTTTTCTTGTTTTTTTTTCTTCCAATTTTAAGCACCTTCATTTTGTTTACCTGTGTCTGATGGGTCCAGTGCACAACCCCTCTCCCTTTCATAAACTGGATTCCTGTTGAGCCTCTTCTTCTTTTACTTCCACAGGAAGTTTATTGGCCAGCAGACCTTACTGAAGAGTCTTATGGAGAGTCATTTTGTTAGATGAACATTCACTGTTCATTCCAGATAGATAAACATGTTCCTTCTTCTGTTAAAGGTCTAGGGTGTCACTTCTCCTGAATCAGGGACACTGCCAACTAATAGAGATCCTTGTTGCTTTATGGGAGGGAGGGATAATGGCTTATGGTGAGTGACTCATGCCACTGTGACTTCAGATCCTGGGGATAGCATCTGCTCCTGGCTTTTCCTGGGGAAGCTATCATGTCTCTCTGAGCTTCCTTTTACCCATGGTAAAGTGAGTATAGATAAAACTGCTGATATTTCACCAGGACAGCAGATTCAGCATGTAAATAACCTTCTCACATTGCCTACATAACCATTAATTCGTGTGGCTTTTCCACTTCTGAAACTATGGGCATTAGTATGACGGTCCCTCAAGTTAAAAAACAAGCAAATAGCAAGCAGAAACAATAAAATCAAAAGCAAAACAATTACTATAAAATCCAGATCGTTCATGTGGGTATATAATGGAATGCCAGAGATGGCATGTACATCCATAATTATTATAGCATTAGTCAAAATAGTCAAACTTAGGATCAGCTTAGATGTTTATCAGAAGATAACTAAACAATGAAAATATGGCATTTATACCCAATGAATTTTTATTCTAAGGAAATTGGAATTAATGTCACTTACATGGAAATAAATGGGCCAGGATATTATCAATTTAAACAAAACAGTTGAAGCCAGAAAGAGAAACATCACATTTTCTATCATATACACACCATGTATGCATATATCTATCTATATTTATATGGCATGGAAGTGGTGGATTTACTATGTGTTAGTGAGGAAGGGAAAGGAGGGTGTGGATGGTACCAAATGACCCAAGTAAATGATGCATCTGTGTAGAAATCCTAAGGAAATTCATTGTTTGCCATTACCTAAACCTTGAAGGTATATAAAAAGAGCAGGCTTTCCCAAGAAGAAACATTTAAGTAAAAAATCCAGTGGGAATGCCTCTGGAAGTACCTTTATTGTATAGAATTGTTTTGGCTATCCTGGGTTTTTTGTTTTTCCATAAAAAGTTGATCATTATTCTCTCAAGGTTTGTGAAGAATTTTGTTGGGATTTTGATGGGGATTGCATTGAATCTATAGATTGCTTTTGGTAAAATTGCCATTTTTACTATGTTGATCCTCCCAATCAAAGAGCAGGGGAGATCCTTCCATTTTCTGGTATTCTCTTCAATTTCTTTCTTCAAAGATTTAAAGTTCTTTTCAAATAGATCTTTCACTTCCTTGGTTAGAGTTACCCCAAGATATTTTATGCTATTTGTGGCTATCGTGAAAGGTGATGCTTCTCTGATTTCCCTCTCTGCTTCTTTATCCTTTGTATATAGGAGGGCAACTGATTTTTTGGAGTTGATCTTGTATCCTGCCACGTTACTAAAGGTGTTTATCAGCTGTAGGAATTCTTTCGTAGAGTTTTGGTGGTCTCTTATGTGCACTATCATATCATCTACAAATAACAAAAGTTTGACTTCTTCCTTTCTGATTTGAATCCCCTTGATCTCCTTATGTTGTCTTATTGCTATTGCTAGAACTTCAAGCACTATATTGAAGAGGTATGGAGAAAGTAGACAGCCTTCCTGTCCTCTTCTCTCTTCTCCTCTCCTCTCCCCTCCTGTTCTGTCCTTTCATGTCTTCTCCTCTCCTCTTCTATCTTCTTCTCTACTCTACGCTCCTCTCCTCTCTCCCTCCCCTCCTCCACCCCTCCTTTTGTCCTTCCCTCCCTTTATTCCCTCTGAGTTCAGTTAGTGATGAACATACACACATGGTCATGTGGCCACTCACTGGGGCCTAGGCAATCTACTAAGGTTCATATCCGTAAATAAAAGTAACTTTCATTCCTATCAACTGCCAATAGTTCTTTAAATTAATTTTTATTGTTGGGGAGGAGGACACAGTTGTGCCAGGGTCCATGCATGACACAATGCACATAAGTGGAGGTCAGAGGACTTTGTGGAATCAATTCTCACTTTTCACTTATGTGGATTCTGAGCATCAAATTGAGTGGTGAACATCCTGAGATACAGTGCCATTCCTGATCACCTATGAACGAACAACAACAGATCATTGAAGACATCCTGAAAGAAATTAAAAAGTCCTAGAAACAAGTGTAGATTAGAGCTCTGCCCATCAGAGGCTCCTGATATGCCCAGCATAGTCCAAGGAGGAAAGTTACAGCTATCAGTGCTCACAGTAAAATCTATTCAGACTTTCCAATAAATAATCTATTATACAACTTAAAGCTCAAGAAAATAAGAAGCCAAACCTAGTACTAGAACTTGAGGTGGATAATAATGAAATAGAAAATAAAATAATATGTAGAATAATCAAAGAATTGACTGAGAAACTAAGCAAAATTGACAAACTCCCAATCAAAGTATAGAAAGAAGAGATATTATCCAAATTAATAAAATTAGAAATGAAAAGGGGGAAAGATAACAAAACACTTTCTCTGCAGCTAGTATTAGCCAAACACCAAAACTGGATAAGTGCATAACAGCAGTGGAGTAGGTAAATGATAACAAATAGGCCTAAACCCACCACAGCGCAGCCCACTGTGCTGTATATTAAATAAAAATTAGTTTAAACTGAGAGTAACACTTGTCAGAAAAGAGTTGGTAAGTGCAGAGAGGAAGGACAGTTGAGACAGCATGTGACTGAATACACGAGCTGCAGGTACGAAGGAAGCTGAAGTAGGTGATTGTGTGTTTCAGGTCTTACTGTGCTGCACACAAACACTGTCTCCAGCACCAGTGTATTTGGAAGGAGAAAGGGGAGCAGTGAACGGAAGGATTAGGAAAGAGGAGAGGTAGTGAGAAATTACTCTTGTTTTAATTAAAATTAAAAAATAAATTCTGTTTATTTTGAAAAATAAATGAAAGTATGACTATCTCATCTGGAGCTGGTTTGAGGGGAGAGATATTGAGATAAACCTATATAAATTCAGAAAGTCAAAAATTTGTACTTGGACATTAAGGATCAAGAGAATGGAGTTGAAGACAGAGGAAGGAAAGAGTCGTGGCATGCAAAGAAGATACGGTAAAAGGACTAGACCTGAAGCTGAGCCTTACACACTGGAGGACGAATGTGCTCTTGTTGCTTTGGTCACCTTACTAAACTGAGGGTTCGACTGCCTGAGTGAAAGATCTATATCCGCACTATTCATCAATTGTCACCTTGTCTGCTCCTGAGTTCGTTTCTCTGACACAAGTTTGTTCTTTAACTGAAACTAATGATGCTTGAGGAACGTAGGTAGGAAGTGTAGCAGGCTTCTATACACGTGATAAGCCAATAGACAGCAGCCATCATCTAGTTCTAACAATAATATATCTCCAGATATGACTACAGGGAGTGGGGAGATGTGGGGAATTCACTGCTCTGCTGGAGGGAAACCTTGACAGCAGGGTCCTCATCTTCCCCTCTTTGAATGACTGAAATAAAAGCCTCACACTGATGGTTCCCTTATGACTCACAGAAAAATTTTGTCATTAAAATGGAAGAGCAAACCTGACGAACTGGATAATATGTCATGGTAGGCACCAAAAAAGTCAAATAAACTATTACTTTGTAAGTGGATTAAAGGATTAACCACAAAGACTTGGCCCAGGAAAGTTGGGTAAAGTTCAGTTTCAGTGAAGGAGCCATGGGGAAGAAGCCAGAGGCTGGCACGTGGCCCTGGCTGTGCTTCAAACTCAGGCTTCTGACCTTAGATGATTTTTTTTTTGGATCCAGATTAGAGCATATCATGGTAAAAGATATCTCTACTCTGTTGTTGCTTGCAAAGTCCTTATCTAACACAGTGAAGATGCTATGAGTGCCCAGGAGTCATGCAACATCTAGCTTTAGTGTCAGATCTGACATCTTCCTTATCTAAAGTTTAATGTTTTGGTGGATTTCCACTCTCTAAGTGAATATAGTGTTAAAATGAGACTAATGATTAGTGTAAAATAGAGAGGCCATGAGAGGCAGTTGCACTGTCCTTAATTGAAACTCACTGTAATTCTTGTATATGAAGAAAACTGAATAAACTGTGCCCTCAAATGACAAGGAGGGAGAATGGGAATTAAAGCCTTGGGAAATTCAGGATTTGGTGGCATTCCCTCATTTCCTAAACCCACCCCAACATAAAGCACATGCTAGTATTGACTATATTTAAATTTAGGCTTGGGCTAGCCTGCATTAGAAAACAAGACACACTCTAGAAAACAATAAAAGCGAGAGAGACAGAGAGACAGAGAGATCTGCTGCCAATTTCACTCTGTTTTCAACTCCTATGTGCACACATGTCAAGGATCATGTCAGTTACATGCAGGACCACTGAGCAGGTATAGATGGGGCAAGGTG